TAACATCTAAATTTATTAATGTGGTGACGAGGCACTTAAATCTAGAATTTATTTATTTTCCTTTGTTCTTCCTTTTAGGTGTCCAATGTCCCCAACATCAGTAGATTGCCAATTCCCTCTCCTTGCAACACCCTTGCCAGCATTATGCTGGTGCTGTCATATTCATTCCAGATTACTGCAACAGAATGGAGTTATTCTTTAGTTATAAGGTAAGTTCCCCCAAAACTCGTTTCATACTCACTGAGATACAGCTTTTTTATTTTACAATATTGTGTAGTTTTGTAAGTTTTTTAAAGTGTCTTGTGATTCTTTATTAGTGTACCATACTCAGAAACTTATAAAACTGCATAATATAATAAAAGACTTATCTTGTGACCATAGATCAGCTCCTTTTTGTAGTAATATTAATGGAATCATAAAACCTCTGTGGTTTGATTATGGGGGCATCTAAAGGAAAGGGAGCTGGCAATCTGCAGCTGCTGTGGACATTGGATGAGAAAGCAATGAAGGTAAGCTTCAAATTTAGACTATCTTGGATGATTTGAATTCTATGGTGTATGCTTGAAACTCATATTTTGTTAAACTTTATAGTAGATTGGTAAAGGAAAAATGGTACTTTAAAGTGACCTTTGGCAACTGTTTGAATTACTATCTTAGAAAAAATATGTATTTTTTGTTCATTTTTTGAGACAAGGCCTTGAACTCATTATGTAGCCCCAACTGGCCTCAAACTCACAGTGATCCTGCTGCTTCAGCCTCTTGAGTACTGGAATTACAGACATGCACCACCACTCCCAGAAGAAAATATTTTTTAATCTCTAAAAATAGTGAGAATTCTAATACTGAAAATGGTCATTTATCCCACATTCATCTATCTATTTAGGTTGTTTTGTTTTGTTTTGTTTTGTTTTGTTTTGTATCTGGGATCAAACTCAGGACTTCATGCTTGCCAGGCGGGCACTTATGCCACTAGCTAAACCCCTTCATCTATCTGTTTGTAAAGCCAATACTAAAATTATATGTATAAATTATTAAATAGATTTTTGTTAGAAAAAGTTATAGCACTGTTTCTCAAATGACCTTTTACTTCATCCATCACCATCCTTGTTTTTGGTTCTGTATCAGTGCAGATGAAAGTGATAGTGTATCATCTATAAGACTGTAAGAATCTCAGTTTCTTATTATATCAGTATTTTTTGTGTGCGTAGAGAGGGAAGCTTGCTGTTTTCATTTTGCTTTAATTTACTTTTAGGTCACTGTAATTTTTATACTGTTGTATTTTTTTTAATTAACAAATTTTTAGAGATTTTAATTCTTATCTTACAAATATATCTGCAGGTATAGAACTAGAGACCATCATGTTAAGTGAAATAAGTCAAAAAGTCAGGAGAGATAGAATTCTAATGCCAAGTCTATTTCTGTCTTAAAAGTACTTTCTAGTGTGATTTTAGACAATTTTCTTCTATAAAATTATGCCCTCTGATTTCTCCTTTAACATTTAATAAATTCATCTGAGAACAAACATGAAAATTATATTTGATTTATTTTCTTTGTGTATATAATGTTGATCAGTCAGAAAAATTATTACTGGTTTATTACTAATAACTCAAAGTTGAATAAATATTTCTTTGATTTTAAATTAATTTTTATGTTAGTCTCAAGATAATACAGATTCCTATTAAATATAATTTCCTTTAAAAATTGATAATTCCTTTTTACATTAGTTCACTATGTATTATGCAAATTTGAGATCACTACTAAATAGAATGGGACTGTTGTCATTTTTTTTAATTTGATTTGGGTTGTAATTATCATGGTTTTTTCTTTTGTTTTATTTTAGTACTGGGAACTGAAATGAGGGCCTTGACAATGAACTACATCCCCAGTCCTTTTCTTCAGTTTAGAGACAGTTCACTGAGTCCAAGTTGACTGGGTTAGGGTTAAACTTAGAGTCTCCTGCTCACCTTTCCAGAGTGCTGAGATTACACCACACCCAGTTATAAATTTAATATTTTGACCAAGGAAAATAGATACATGAAACAAACATTGTTGTATGAATTTCCTTTCCTTGTAGCAATTAAAGCTACTGGTAGCATTCTCAGAGCAGTGATTCTCAGCCCCCCCCCTTTTAATCAACATAAAAATTTATGGATTCTCATACCCCATGGGTATAATGATGCCCTCTGTAGGAGTTATTTTATTCTATTTATATTGTAGGTGAGGTACTTTATTGATCTTTACTTTCTATAGTTATGAAAATATCAACTTTTTGATTCATTTTCTAGTATTAAATGATTAAATATGCATTTTCAAATGATAAATGAAATACCATACCATCACTACCTCAAGTAGATAATACATATTATAAAGAAAGGGAAGGAGCTACAAAACATACACAAAGTTAAAAGGCCATAGACACTTCAAAACAGGTCCGTGGGTAAGATAGAGTTACATGAAAGTTAGAAATCTATCTCTGATTAACATATGAGTTCCTTGCATGCAATCCATTAATCACTGATATACTTTCCAAATATGTACTAATTATAAGTAATTAAAAGGTATAAAATCTTCTAACCTTTTTAAATACGTTTACAAAAATCAAGTTTTTAATTTAGCAGTGATGCAAGTGATGCACTACAGTCAACAAATGTCTTCAAATAATGATAATCGGCTATATGGAGTATATGGTGTCCTGTTCCTTGTCTACCCAGACCTTGTCTTCCATAGCCTCCACCCCATCACCACAAGGCCGTTCCAGACAGCAATCATACAGCTTATGATAACTCTGCAGCTGTTGTTTTTCTTGTAACCTCCATCAAGTTCAGCATGCCTGGTATTCCCTAGACTTTTAATATTTTTCCAATCAGTTATACCACAAAGAAGATATTTTCCCTAACTTCATCCCTCATTCTGCTTTTTGTTTTGTTTTGATTTTTGTTTGTCTTGCTTAATCTTTAGAAAAGTTTACTTCCACTCTAACCATTTTACCTTTGAGCCTAATGCAGTTGAGTAGAAAAATATTATTTATAGGTCTTACTAAAGGAAAAAATTTACCTATTTCCTATTCATTGAAATAAAACTGCCTCATTCTACAAAAGATTTAGGGTGGCCATCATCCATCTGCCTTTTGTGTTTTCCTTAGGTGAAAGTTACTTTCTTCTTCATTTTTGTTTATCTACATAATAGTTGTGTTTTTGTGGGTTAGAAATAAGCATATTTATTGCTCTAGCATATGAGATATACTATCTCATAAAATTTCTTTGAGAAAAACTTTAAAGGTGTAACCCCTTTTTTGTTTATTTATGTTTATTGGTATAATTTAGGTGTATATATATATATATATATATATATATATATATATATAATGATCACATTGTAGGGAATTTGTATCTGCACATGATATATCTAGATTCTTATTTTTTTATACCCATTGTTAACTTGAGTCTTGTATTTTTAGAGTACATTTAACAAAGAGACCTATTTAGGTTAATACTTGAAATAAAAATTACTTTTTTGGTAAGTTTTCTTAATACCCTGATTTATCATGCCATTAAGAAGACACAAAAGAATTAGCAAATACAGGTTTCATGTTCATTTTGTGCATGTGCACATTAATCCCAAATTTTCTACTCTAATAATCAATTTTATTAAAATATAAAAGCCTAAGCAATAGAAATATAGGTTTCATGTACATAACTAGTTTGTTTATAACACAAAAAAAATTGATAAAACTTAGGTTTATATGTGCGTAAAATTTCAAAACAGTGAAGTTTTTATGTATGTAAAATTGGAAAATACATGCACACTTTTTGCTCTAGATAATGTAATTTTTTAGCTTCCTATTCTACATATGTATAAGTTGACTTAGTTGATTGCTTATAGATTGAAGTCTAATTTTATGTATGTTTAATGTGACATAACATATTTGTGTATTTTAATTAGAAATAAAACATGGATTATATGGTATGTGAATTAAATCTGAAATCTTTTTTTAAAAAGAGAACATGATGATGATGATAGGTATGCATCTATTGAGAACCAGGAATTGGTTCAACTGCTACAAATTTTTTGTTCCTATGGTAGTCAAACAATTCTATATTCTCTGTACTAGGGGTTTTTATAGCCTATGTCAGATTGAATTTATGGAGTGTACTCTTTAAGAGGTTATAATATAGTTCTGAGAGCTTGGACTCCAAAATCACAGAGATATAGGAACAAGTCATAGAGCTTAAGAAAATTATTTAACCTGTCTAGGCCTTATTGTCATCATTTGTGAAATGAATATACCAATGTACACATCTTAAAGGTTTACATAAATGCTAGAGTTTATTCTGTCTACATACTTGTAGATAAATATGTAAAATGCATACGATAATACTTAACAAATGGAGAGAGCATCAGAAATTATCACTCTTAGTGTACTGTTGAAAACAGTTGACTGTTTTGGTTACTTTTCTGTGCTGCAAACTATTAAAATAACTATAAAATTACCTAAGGAACTTTATTAAGAAGACTGCTTTTGAATATGATAACAAACCTGGCTTTTCTCACCACTACCACCACCCACTCTGGGGAAAATTACAAAAACCTTACTAAATGAGCCATATTATTTATTTAATGAACTTATGTAAATGTTTGAATCCTTCCTGCCTTCCTTTCATTTGTTTCTTTGTAGCACTGGAGAGCAAACCCAGAGCTCTTCATACATATTTAGTAAATGAATTATTAAAAGACAACTGACACAATTCAAATTTTTTTAAATTTTTGCCTGCTGGTTGGATGAGATAGGTTTTAGATTTCTCTTGTAGTATTGAAAATTATTAAATAAAATTTATTATAGTATGTTTCCCCTTCACACTTATGAGAAAGAATTTTGGTTTTTTTTTTTTCCTTTAGACACTATTACTAATTTTATTGTATTTATTACTCAAGAGATAATGCTTGACATTAACTTTTTAGATTAAATCTAAGGGATTTACTTTAAAAAATTGTGTTTTTAGGGTAAATGGTATCATCGGAGGCAAGCTGTAAAAGAATTGCATAGCACATTGATACGTCTTTTAAATGAATTGCTGCCATGGGAACCAAAGTTAATGAAGGCTTTTCAAAGAAACAGGTAATTGAAGTTTTATATTCTGTTTTACTTTCTAGGGCTCTTGATTTATGATTTTGGGAAGATCCTGAAATTATTTAGTAGTTTTCCATTCATTTGTGATTCCACTGTGTACAGGGTATTTCCGAAGCCCTGGGAAACCATGTTGATTAAAGAAAGCCCATACTTCCACGGGATATATATTCAAATGGAAAAAATATGCGAAGTGACTAGATAGTGATAATGGTATAGAGAAAAATAAAGCAAAGATAAAGGAGAAAGAAAATGCCTGTTTGGGATAAGGTGAAGATTATTCCTAAAGGAAACAAGGGAGAGAACAATGTGGCTTACAAGGGAGAGAACAATGTGGCTGTCCAGGGGAAAAAGCAAAAAGAATAGAAAGTACAAAGTATCTTAGATTGGAAACATGTTTATTTAAAGGAAAAGGAGATAGACAAGGATAAACAGAGCAGAGTGAATGAGGCACATCATGGTAAAAAATGAGGGGGCTGTCATGCTGCTTCATGATACCTGCCCTACTGTGTGGAGTGTATTTTTGTTTTTTTCTTCCCTTTTATTACTTGATCCAGACACTGCAGAATCCATTTTTCCCCTACCCTTCTGATTTTTTTCTACCTTAATAAATGTGAAACTTTTGCCACCATTAAAAAAAAAAAAATGAGAGGGGTAAACAGAATTTGTCAGGTCATGTAGGATTTCTAAGATCTTTGGTTTTTACATTAAATGAAATGAGAAGCCATTTGAAAGATTTAAGCAAAGAAGGGACAAGATCTTATCTGTTTGTTTGTTCATTTGTTTGTTGTGCTAAAGATCAGTTCTGAGACGCTGCAGTGGTAGGTAAGCACTTTACCAGCAAGCTACATCCTTAGCCTTTATCTAAATTTTAAAGCATTCACTCTGGCTAGTATATTGAAATGAGTTTGAAAAATGAAACCAGAAACATAGTTATATTAGAATGATCTAATAGAGAAACTCAAAAATAGACTCAGGTGAAAGAAAGGATGTTTGATAATGATATCCTGGAGTAGCCAAGAGGAGTGCATATAATGAAAATGTTGATTTAGATAAGGAGTTGAATATGAATTAAGGTAAGTTGCAGGTAAGTACAAACATGTGAAATTCTTTTCTGATTGTTCCATAATCCATGAAATAAAAAGCAGCCATTAGCTAAGACTTGAGAGTAGAAAGGGAAAAAACTTTATATTGTTCCCTCCTAGGCTGAAAAAGTAAATTCATTTTACAGTTATCCTTGGGTCATTCATCTACTATCTCACAGCCCCATGAAATCCTTAAGCAATTATTTAAGACATAAATAAATTGAGAGTAATTATTAACCAATCTTTTGATTAAATGATAGATTTTTTTGGTATACTCTGTACAATAGTCACAGTAATTATTACTGTCATTTAGAATTTCTTCTTTAATCTTCTTAAATGAGCTTTTAAACTGTATTGTGATTCATAATTTTAAGACACTCTCAAGTCCAGTGCAGTTAGAAAAAAAGTACCTTTTCTCTCACTAGGTCTCACAGCAGCCTTTAGAAAGATAAACAAGTGGTATTTCAAACATTATTCAGTACTGTGCAAATATAATCTTTGAAATTTCTTATGCCTATACCCTAGATTTTGTCTTCTTGAGCAATTACTCATTGGCAAGACTAAACTAAGCATCTTAGACACATTTAAGATTAAGATATTTTTTCCAGATACATGCCTATAATCCCAGAAGTCTGAGGCAGGACCACCACAAGTTCAAGGCCAGCTTGGAAAATTTGGCTTACTTCAAAAAAAGAAAAGTTTAGTGATCACTAAAAACCTTTCAATATATAAAGTTAGTTTAGGTTCCAAGAGCTCTATCTATCTATCTATCTATCTATCTATCTATCTATCTATAGGTTGTTATGTTGGGTATTTTATTTCAGGAGCCGCCTAAAGAAAGACTACGATGATTTCAGAAGACAACCCGATCATGATAAATTTACTAGAGAACTGTGGATTACTGAAGAATGTGAAGGAGATCCTGGAAAAGAATCTCCTAAAATAGAAATCAGTAAATCTGTAGACTCAGCAGAATCTCTAGATATCCTGGAGAAAAATCACTTTGATTCAGGTAGATATTAAAAGTGTTTTACAGTTATCCTTAGACAAAGATGTTTTTGTTTATTGTGAAAGCAAAAAATAATCTGGTTAGTGTGTTTTGCTCATTTTTGTTTTGTTTTGGGGTTAGGTAGGGGTTTGTTTTATTTTGTGGTACTGGACATTTAACCCAGGGCCTTCACATTGAGCTACATCCCTAGCACTTTACTTTTTAATTGGAAACAGTGTTTTGCTGTGTTGCTAAATTGCCCACATTGGTCTTGAATTTGTTACCTTCCTGTCTTAACCTCCCCAGGTTCTAGGATTACAGGCATGTGCCACTAAACCCAGTTTGGTCAGAATATAATTGGGGAAATCTGGTATGTTTTGAAGTACTACACATATTCTTGTAAGAAATTTCCAGGGAGTCATTATTACATTTCTAGGAGCCTAAGTGTGGAGCCAGTGCTTGACTCCACACTTCAGGCATGTTCATTGCAAATCACATATGCTTATTAGTCTGTTTTAAATTGTTTAATTCTCTTACTTTTTGAAGTTTTTTAATCACCCTACAGTAGATTTCTTAATAAATTGTGGGGTTGACTGTTAATTGGTGAAAGATTGACTTTTAATTGGTAATATTGATACTCAATAACTGTTTTCTATAAACAAAATTTTTGTTTTTACAATTTTCAGATGATATGAAATTGTCAGAAATAGATTTTCCTATGGCCAGAAGCAAGTTTTTGAAAAAGGAATTGTCTTCTAAGGATGTGTTGAAGACGCTGCCTAAAACACTTAAGCGACAGTCCAAACAAACTAGTTTTCTGGATGACAGCACAAAAGAGCTTTCTCCAAGGAAGAAAGCAAAGTTAAGCACAAGTGAGACAATTAAAAATTTAGAAGAAGATATGCAGATTGACTGTTTGAATGAATCAGAGCATATAGAACTACCATTTCCAGATTCATCTGCCTCAGTGGATTCAGTACCAGTGTCTACTCTACAGAAAGGGACCAAACCTATTCAGGCCTTGCTTGCAAAGAATATTGGGAACAAAGTGACCTTAACAAATCAACTGCCCCCTTCCACAAGTAGAAGTGCTCCTTCTGTGGACAAACCTATTATATCTCCTCCAGAAGCAAACCCTGTAAAACCAGCATTGACCTGCCTCACCAGTACAAAAGGTCCTTTACAAATGGTATATAAAACACCCTGTGGCCAGTGGTTGCCAGTAGATCTTCACAATAGCTCTGTAAAGATTCAGATGCAGCCTGTGCTAGATTCTAAAACAGGAGAAAAAATCATGCAGCAAGTTCTAATTCTGCCTAAGAATTTTATGATTCAGCACAAGGAAGGAAAAACAGTTACAAAAGAAATACCATCACTTCAACAAAAAGGTACAGAGCAACATTGTTCATCTTCCCTACAGACAGCAAGTGTAAATTCTTCTTTAGCATCAGTTATTGTCAACTCAACAGGAACTGTTTCTGCCCAACTACCCAATACAGTTTTTAACAAGACTGTTGCTCCTTCCTCAAATGTGAGTAGTGCTAGATCGCAGCCATTGTCACCTGTAACTAATTTATTAACACCACCAGTAAAAACTAGCCACAATGAGGTTGGAAAAGCCAATGCAGTGTCAGCAGCTGCATTCCCCCAGCCCATTACTTCACCCACCGTTTCCTCAACAGTTCAGCCTCTGCTACCAGCAACAACACTAAGTGGATCTACAAATTCTGGTAATTCCCCCAAAGGTTTTCCACAACAAACTGCTGATTATTCTGAAACAAAGCAAGAACTGAAAACTGTGTGTATAAGAGATTCACAATCGATTCTTGTTAGGACACGTGGTGGAAACACTGGAGTTGTAAAAGTGCAGCCCAATCTGGATCAGAATTCACCTACCACTTTGTCCTCAAATTCAGTTTTCACTTTTGCTCCTCAACTTCAGGCATTTCTGGTGCCAAAATCAACAGCTTCATCATCCTCTACTTTTTCACAAGTAACTGGAATAACATCATCCAGTTTCCCACCTTTTGGCCAAACACCAACTTCTGTTTCCATTCCCTGTGGATTTAATCCTTCCATAGGGAAAAATGTCAAAATTACATTAGGCCAACCCTCTAGCAATGGTAATTTGGGCCACATTATAAATAAAACTTCACACATCACTTCTTCTTCCTTGAAGTCTTCTGTTTCTTCCAGCACTCTATTATCATCAACAACAAATAGTTCACTAAGTGTAATTAATGTATCAGGAAATTTTACACAAACTAATACAAATGTTACTCATACTCCAACTAAACAACCACAAATAGATTATATTACAAAAAGTTATCCTGTTATTACAAGATCAGAAGCAACAACAACAACAAATGGCGATATGATAAGCGGGACTCCCATTCAGAAATTTATGCTAGTATCAGCTCCATCTGTTCTTCCTTCTAGCAATACGACTACAGTTAATGGGACACCTGCGCTGACATCTACAGGTGTATCTACTCAAAAATTGGTTTTTATTAATGCTCCAATTCCCAGCATCACTTCTACCCCAACTGTTGTTGCAGAATCATTAAAACAAACTCTTCCTCAACCCTTGAATAAAACATATGTTAAGACTCCTGAGCAACCCCAAATACTGTTAATTCCATCAACAGTGGGAACACCAATAAAAATAAATTCTTCACAAACTGTGTCTCAGATAAAAGATGTGAAAATTGGACTAAATATAGGTCAAGCAATTGTAAATCCTTCAGGAAGTGTGCCAGCTATACCATCAATTAATATATTACAAAGCATAGCCCCAAAAGGAGAAGACAGATGTAACAAGGCCTGTGTGTTACCGTTGTCAAGTGGTAATACAATTCCAATAAACTCAAATTTTGGGAATCAGAATATTACTACTGTTAATGAATCATTGGTTACCACAGCAAGAACAATAAATATGTTTTCAGTAACAAGAGCAAGTGTTTCTTTGGGTTCCCTTTCAGTGACCTCATCCTCTGCTTTGGTTGGCACATACCCTCCTGTTTCAGTCAGTGGAAATGATACCTCTTCAAGAATTATGCCTATTTTGTCAAATAGACTTTGCTCATCCAGTCTGGGAAACACTGTGGCCATATCAACTGTGAAAACAGGACATCTTGCATCATCTGTTCTGATTTCAACTGCACAACCAACAGTGTCTCCAAAATGTTTGACATCAGCTTTGCAAATTCCTGTTACTGTTGCCTTGAATACAGCTGGGACTGCAACACCCCAAATGGACTCAGTTCCACATTCAGCAACAGTATCAGGATCCACACTTTCTGTATCTCTTTCTAAAAGACAATCTCGGGCTTCTCTTCAGTTTCAGTCACCAGGGATTGCAACTACAGTGCCAACAAATGCAAACACAAATAAACCTCAAGCTGAATTATCCCTTTCACCAAGTCCAGGTAAAATAATTAATATTTCTAGTTTTACTTCTCTGCCAAACCAGCAAATGTCCCCTGCTTTAGTCAAATCAACCCCTACTTACAATTCTGTTCCAAGTGGCTCTCCTATTCACAATGCTACAGCACCATCAAGTGTAACTAATCTAGTAGCAAGTCCATTCAGTGAACCTTGTATTCAGCAAAAAATAGTCATCAACACCAGTACACCTTTGGCACCTGGAACTCAGATCTTGATTAATGGAGCTCGGTTTATTGTTCCACCACAAGGTCTTGGAGCTGGCAGCCATGTTCTTCTTATATCTAATCCAAAATATGGGCCTTCCTTAGTTCTTAATAGTGGCCAAGGCATTCCGTCTACAGCAATAGATAACCCTGCCCAGAAGATCACACTAGCAAATAATTCAAGTGGGCAACCTACAAAACATCCTCTAAGAAGCTCTACAAAAATTGTAAACTCTCTTGGGAATGCAAGTTCTGTACCCACAGTACATACAACATCACAGATTGTAAACACAACTGCTAAAGTTTCTGTTCCACCTCCTACACCGACAGTATCACTAACTTCAGTAATTAAGTCTCCTCCAGCCTCCCTTTTAAGCAAGACGTCTTTGGTTTCTGGCATTTCCTCTAGTAATCCTTCACTGCCAAGTAGTACTTCAGTATTTCATTTGGACACATCTGTCAAAAAGTTGTTGGTTAGCCCAGAAGGAGCCATTCTGAATACCATAAATACTCCAGCATCTAAAGTTTCTTCATTGTCTTCATCTCTGTCTCAGATTGTCGTATCTGCCAGTCGAAATCCCACTTCTGTCTTCCCAGATTTTAAGGCATCTGGTTTAGAAAAGCCTGACACAGCTGCATCTTGAATTTAGACTAAATGAGCCAGTTTTTAAATAATGGGGCATTCTTTTAACTCCCATAAAATTTTAACTTTTATTATACTATTGAAAACATACTATACATATGTGTGTATGTGTGTTTGCACACGTGCATATTTTAATGTATCTTTTCATTAGGTTACACACAGACTGTTTTCCCCCCTTGGGGAGGGAAAAGTTCCATTTCATTCATTGGTATGAGGTTGTTTTCAAAGCTTCTTTGTTTAAAGTACATGGTCAAGATTTACCTGTCTATATAAGTTGAACAAGTCAAGTTTGACTAGTTTAGAGTAAGCTAGCCTTTTGCACACTTAAATTGACATGTTTTTTGAATTTGGACTATTGTAGCATATCTATGATATAGTATTCTGTGTCCTTAGTGAAATCTTATTTTTGTTTCTGTAAAAAGAAATATATATATATATTTATGCACTGCAAAAATGCAGTTCATGATGTAAAATTGTATATATTCCTAAATCCCTAACAACCTGTACTAAATATATGTACAAAGAACTATGCTGTCTTATTTATGTTTTGTTTACATAATGTATAGTTTTTTAAGTATTTTAGTAATTTTGGACCAGTGAACTGTTAGCAACAATGCAGAAGAATCTGCATGTAATAAACTGAGTTGCTGTATCTTTGTTTGAATACCATTTTAAAGTGTGTTTATGTTTCATTGAAAGAATACATAATATAAATGAAGATAGACCTTTGGAAAAAATTAAGATTGGAAGATTTTTATTAATAACATTCATCAAGGTTTCATAGTTTACAAAAATTACTTTTATGTATCTTGATTTTCACATCACTTTTGGCGGGTTAAGAAATACATCCAGCTTACCCAGCTAATGGGTAGTAAAGCCAGTATATGAAACTGATCCTTTAAATTTTGTTTCATGCTTCTACTCTACTTCTGATTTTAAGAAATCATTCTAGATTTCTTATTTTCAGGTATTTTTTTAAAATTCACTACCAAGGGGCTGGGGATTTAGCTCAGCGGCATAAGGGCCTGCCTTGCAAGCAGGCAGTCGTGAGTTCAATCCCTGGTACCAATAAAAAAGAAAAGGACAAAAAAAAAATTCACTACCAAATTTTACATTGATCAAAATACATTTTTCACACTAGTATATTTGGTCTCATATATCATAAATGCATTTTCTTAAACTTTTTGTTTTGGTGGTGTTGAGGATCAAACCCAGGGCTTTGTACATGCTAACCAAATCACTCTACCACTGAGCAACATTCACAGTCCAAAATGTTGAGTAATTTCAAGGTGGGTGTGATGGCACATGCCTGTGATCCCAGCACACTGGTAAGTTGAGACAAGAGGATCACAGGTTCAAGCCCATCCTGTGCAATTTAGCAAGACCCTGTCTGAAAATAAGGACTGGAGATGTAGCTCAATGCAAAGGCCATGGATGCAATTCCCAATACTGGAAAAAAAAATTTCAACTTACAGGAAGTTACAGAAATAGTATAGAGGGGTTTCATATACCTTTCATTTTGCTTTCCCCAGATATGTTCATTTTTAAATTGAGGTATTGGTTCACAGTGACTGATTTTCCAAATAATATTTATAAATAAGATTTAGTTTAGAATAAAAAGTGAATGTGAATACCAGTGCTTGCTCACTTTATTTTTTTTAATTCCCATTACAGAGCAATTACTTAAAAATTTTATGGCTCAGCTGATTCTCAGGGTTTGATTGTAGTATTTCAGAATATGCCTCATTTTAAATAAAAGGTAGCTTCTATATTTATTGGATGTTCCTTATTTAAGATGCTTTGTAATGTACATATTCCATTCATGATCACAATTAAGCTCCATCACACTGAGCTAGTCTAAAGTTGAAAATACTAGAGTAGAGACCTAAAGATCTCTGACATTACATCAAAATGATGCTGCATAAGTGTAGAGGGCATGAGCTAATTCTTAAAAAGTTGCTGAAAGCTCTCCCAAAAGAAATACATAATTATACCCAACGTGGTGCATGTCTGTGTTCTCAGTACTTAGGAAGTTAAGATAGGAGTATCATGTGTTCAAGACCAGCCTGTGCTACATAGCAAGACTTTGCCTCAAAAACCAACATCAAAATATTATGCTCTTAAGTATCTTTGCCAATCATGTCTACGTTCTATTCAGTTACTCACCTTTCCTTGTCAGTTGGTTAAGAAACCTGGATTTCTGGGAGCATGGGTGATTTTTACAGTACAGTGCATTGTACAAGGGGAAGTATTCAGTAACTGAGTGTATTTACACACTTGGATTTAAAATATTACCTGAAAGTCAAAGAATTCTATAAGCCACTTTAGAAATTAATTTACTGAATTACCTGTGACCTAACTTTAATCCCAGCAAAGGGGATTAGTGGTCAGTTAACCACTAAATCTCTTAAAACTACTAAATCCAAAATCCTAATAAACCTTCAGAGTTCTTCACAACCTACTGAACCCTTATAGAGTGAAGACCCCTACTTATGACTTAAAAGGCTCTTTAGGCTGTTTCTGCCTGCCTCTACTCCATTTTAATCTATTCCTCTTCATGTTCACTGCACTCTAGTTTTCTTTTTTTCCTAGAAAGTTTGAGACACATCATGGACTTTTCAGATGTCCTCTTTGACTTAATGTTTCATTACAAGTTCTCCATATATTTTATATTGCTCCCTCTTATTGCCATATTTCAGCCAGCATCATGATATTGTAGCCACTCAGAAGGAGGAGGATATATCACTGCTTCACAATTATAATAGAATTTACAGTTATTTAGTGCTAGTCATCCTTTTTAAAAACTGGGACCTTGTCAGTCATTATCACCCTAGTAAATGATACACAGTATTCAATATGTATTTGTAGAATAAGTGATTGAAAAATCTAGGAAGGTTCTTATATTGTTAAGCTCTAGTTTACTTTTTTAAAATATGAGTGTTTTTTTTACTACGTTTAAATTAATAGCTTTATTCAAATTTCAAATTTTTTCCTTTGTCTCCACTTTGTAGATTTTAATAAAAATAATCTACTTTCATTATCTTCACTTTTTAAGTTACCTGTACTATGAAAAATGATGCTGATTTTGCATTTACAGTGGTGATACAAATTTAAGAGTCAGGCATAGTAGTGCGCACGTGAAATCCTAGCACTCTGGGAGACAGGCAGGATGATTGCAGGCCTGAGTCCAGTCTGGACAACTTAACAACTTAGTGAAACCCAGTCTCAAAAAAAAAAAAAAAAAAAAAAAAAGCTGAGAATATAGCTCAGTGTGAAGGCTCTGAGTTCAATGCTAAGTACCACCAAAACATATTTTTGAGCTGACTGAAAAAAAGTTAAATTGTGTAAGTGATAAGTAGAGAAAATATAGCCAAAACAAATTTATTGAAAATAATAGTACAACATTAGAATTTCTGATCATTAATGGTTTTGTTTTGTTTTTTTTTTTTCCTCTGTGTAAGTTCTTGTAAGAAGCGTTTGGAAACCAACAAGAACTAAATTGTCAGGGGAAGTTTAAGACAATATGCATACACAGACAAAGGTATATTCTCATTTACTTACTTAAATCATACCAATTTCTGTTAACACAAAATTCTTGATAATATTGAGTCTTGAAGTAAAATGTAATTAGGACTGCATTATATGTATTAAGATATAGAATCTTTACAGGATATTACAGAGTCATAGAATCTAGAACTCAAAAGTAACATGGCTGATGTAGTTCGAACGAGATAAATGAGTCCATTAGCTCTCATAAATGTGTAACAGTGTCCTTTTTGAGAAATTCATTGCACCTGCCACAATTCTGTGTGCAGTTCATGTTTGTCAAGACATCATTTCTTTTAAAAAATCTGAATAGTTTGTAAATCAACAAAATCTCAATTTAAAAGATAGTTCCAGAACACCCATCTGAGTTCTCTGCATCCCTCAATGAATAAGAGGCTCAATAATATTACTACTGGCTATTACAAAGTTTATTGATGAAGATGTTTCATGTTAATATTTCTGATTATTTCCTAACTTGCTTAATACTGCTAGTTGCTCTGTTTAGAATTTAACACTGACTTAGGCCAGGTCGTAGTGGCGCATGCACTCAAGAGGCTGAGGCAGGAGGATCACTCTGAGTTCAAAGCCAGCCTGTGCTACAAAGTGAGTTCAAGGCCAGCCAAAACTGCATAGTAAAACCCTGTCTCAAAAAGACAGAAAAAGAAGTTTACACTGGCTTGTTAGAGATACACATTGTTGTTACAGCATCCTGAAGCAGAATATTTGATGCCTAGACTCAAAACTAAAGCGTGAGGGAAATTATTTCAGCATTTCTCAGGCAGCTCATTGGCTCTCATGGTGAATAGGGTGGTGGTGAGTGTTCTCCAGAGAGTTTCTCATAAGCAGGTGGAGCATTGGGAACCTGTGATAATAAAAAAGGAAGACATGGGTTTGGAAACAGTGTATATGTTTCTGGGAAGGGATTAAATCAAAACACTTAATATCCTGCTTATACTTTTTGCTGTGGACTAAAACTTTTAGGTGTTCACATCTAATTTCTGACCCAAATGTGTATGTTGAAACGTTGTTAGAAGAAAGACCAGAGAAAAAAATAGGACTTTCCTACAGTCTGAAAGTGTAAGTATACCTGGATTATAAGTGTCAGTAGAAGTCCCAAATCCCAACAAATTACTGAGCCCTGTTCACAGTTAACAATCTTTACTACACAGATTCTTGTGCTGGGTCCAAAAGCACATTTATATTATCAATTCAGTACAAACATGTTAGTCCACTTAATGCTCAGAGCAATCCCAGAAAATGTCACAGTGGGAAAGTAAGGCACAGGGAAGTTGTCACCTGCCCAAGGTCACAAAACTAGTAAGGCATTGAGCTAAGAATCAGTGCTCTCCACCATTATGCAGCATCTCTACCAATGCTGTGTAGTCAAAACAGTTCATAGCCAGGCATGGTGCCTCATGCCAGCAGTGAGGAGGCTGAGGCAGGAGGATCACTGTGAGTTCAAGGCCAGCTTGGACTACGTAGTAAACTACACAGCAAGACCTTTGTCTCAAAAACAAACAATGTAATTAAAGCTATGTATTTGTAATTTCTAGTAGCAACATTTTTAAAAAGCAGGTAAAGGTAATAAAATATTTTAGTTAACCAGTTTAATCATTTCAAGACAGTCATGCTTAAATACAAATCATTAATGATTATGTTTTCATATACTCTGATGTGTCAAAACAAAGATTATGTTAAATATAATGTTAAATTATGTTAAGCATAATTTAAGATATGTTTCAAATGTTCGGTGATGTGGCTTGTAATGGATTTGGATAACAACTCTTTAATAATTGATACTGTTACCCATGTATATATTTGCATTAAAATATACAGTGAAAGGCTATTACATCAAAACCCAAGTTCTTCTTTTGGATTGAACACAGTTTTTTCCATACTCTGGAAAAATGTGAGTATGTGAAGAATATAATTTATGAAAATCTCTATGTTACCCTTAGCTTTTTTATTTTATTTTTGTGGTAAAATATAAAAAATGCATTATAAAGTTTCCCATTTTTACCATAATTTAGTAACATTCAGTACATTTACTGTATCCTTGCTTTTTAAGAGAAATCACGTTATTTCCTTGAACTAAAAGCATAAGTACTCAGAGGCATCATCTCAACCTACCAGAGGTTCACAATTTTTCTCTTCAGAAGACAGTTTGGTGTCCTGATGACCAAGCTGTCCATGTGAGCATCTTCCCTGTAAGATACTTTGGGCACGAGCATGAAGGCTTTTGTCCTGAAATATAAATTTATTAAAGTGAATGGGTAAGAAGAAATCGCTGAGTCCATTAAAGAAAAGAGAAGACCAAATTTTTAAGAATAAATTTTAATCTAGATTGTACTACTTACTTGCTGTGTTTCCATCTGTAATAGGAAGGTATCTGCCTCTCAGATCTATAGGAATTGACTAAGGGCACAGTGTCTGACACTCCATCCTTAATAAATGTCTTTGGAAGGAGAAGAGTAAATATACAAAGTGAACATTTTGTGAAATTATCCTTAAAAACGGAGGAAGGAGCTGGGGATTTAGCTCAGCAGCATAAGCACATGCCTTGCAAGCGCGTGGTCATGAGTTCGGTCCCTGATACCAAAAAAATAAAAATAAAAAAAGGAGGGCTGGGGATATAGCTTAGTGGTAAAGTGTCAGCCTGACATGTATGAGACCCTGGGTGTAATTCAGCAGCACAAAAATGAGGGACTCTCTTAGCAAATATTGAGGGCGTTTGTTGCCAGTAGACTTACCTTGCAAAAAATGTTGAGTTCTTTAAAGAGAGGGAAAATAATAAGCTCAGATGTATATGAAGAAAGGAAGACAAATGAAGAAGGAATAAATGAAGGTAAAATAAACATTGATTTGTCTTGTTTTGATTGATCTAACATATATAGTTTGTCACAATAATATCAACAATATTTGATTACATATACTTTTTTTTTTTTTTATCGGTACCGGGGATCAAACTCACGACCGTGTGCTTGCAAGGCAGGTGCTTATGCCGCTGAGCTAAATCCCTAGCCCCTACATATATTTATTATAGAAATAAAATGAATGACAGCAATGATCTAAGGGGCAGAAAGAATAATTAGTATTGTTTTATCACCAGTACTCATACTACCTGTGAAATGGGCTTAGAGTAATAATAAATGCATGTTTTAAATTCTAGGTTGTGCAATCATTTTTAAAAGCTTAAAGGAAACAAGTATAAAAAGAAAAATGAAATCATTTAAAGTTAAAAGCACTTAAGGCAGAGAAAACTAGAAGAAAAAATAGGAACAAAGAACAACGGCAAAAAAATTAGGAAACAGTTTTGATTTCCTATTAACTTGAAGTCCTGTAATACCCCCGTTATCTTGTTTTGACTGATTAGACTCTATTCTGCTCTGTATGAAAGTATCAAATATCAGAGTATAGGCAAGTACTTTGAAGGCAATAAGATTCACTATGGTGCTTATTCTGGTTTGACTATTATCCTCTTTTGAGGTTCTGTAAGATTTACAATGTTTAGGTTTTATTGGTCTCGTTCTCTACTGTTTTGTTTAACTTTATAATACCTAATGAAATAGACAATTCTTAAGGAAGCAAGAGGCATTATGGTAACGATTGTTGATAACCTTGTACTCTGTTTTTACATCATGTGCTATGTTTATCCTTGGTTTTGACTGACAGCTTTGTTTTATCATGCTTGATTTTATCCTCTTACAAAAAAAAGTAATAAGATCTAAGGGAGCAATAAAACCAAAAATGTGTAAATTTTGTTGTAATAAAGAGAGGGAAAGAAAAGTGCCCTGAAGGATACAACAGCAAGGGTGTTTAGGTGTGTTAAATAGAAGACCATATTAATATTTTTGATTGGATTACTGAACATAACTGTTTGCAGTCTCACTGTTTGAATGTTCGCTTTGTGTGTTTTGGTCCTGTGACCTGAAACACTGTTTCTAAAATGATAACGAGTAACCTATTAACTGGTGATAGCTTACTGGTTTTTGTTTTTTTTTTTTTTTGTAGTGTAGTTCTGAATCACTTGTACCCTTACACTGTTTTGTTTTGTTCTGCTTTTTTTCTCTTTTTCCTTTTAAATAAAAAAAAATTAGGAAACAGTAACATTTATGGTAGATGGGAATCCAGCTGTGTCAGTAATCATTTTGAGCTAGGGATATAGCTCAGCAGCTCAGCACCTGCCTGGCAAGCACAAGATTGTAAGTTCAATTCCTGGAACCAAAAATAATAATAATAATTTTGAAAGTCAATGATTTAAATACACCAATTAATAGACTATTATAGTAGATCAAAAACAAGTTCCAACTATGTATTATATATAAGAAACCCTTTAAAAGACAAACAAAAAGTAAATGGATTGAGAAAGATACACCATGCTAATACTAATCAAAAGAAAGTGATAGTTCCTACATTAATTTCAGAATGAGCAGGCTACACAGTAAGATAGGGGATTAAGACAGCATTAAACAATGATAAAGGGGTTCATTCTCCAAAAAAGACATCACAGCATTTGACAGCATGTACCTAAAAACAGAGCAACAAAACATAAAAGACAGTAACTTAGAATTTCAAGGAACTACTATTGACAATCATTGTGTAGTTGGAGTTACAGTTGGAGATTTCAACATACTTCTACCAGAAGTGGACAGGTCCAGCAGACAAAAATTCAGTAAGGACATAAGCCCACCAAAATCATCAATCAATATAATAGACATCTATATACTTCTATTATCCAACAACAGCAGAATACATGTTCTTCCCAAGCTTATATAGAACGTTTACCAAGTGTTATGGTTTAAATGTAAAAGTCTCATGTGTTCAGAGGTGGGGCTACTAGAAGGTGATTGATCATGGGGACACTATATTCATCATCAGCTGATTAATCCATTGATGAGTTTACAGCTGAATGTGCTCTTAGGAGGTAGAGCTGGTTGGAAGGAGTGAAACGCGGCATGATCTGGAAAGGTGTTCTTGTCTTAGGTCATCTCTTCTCTCTCCCTGCTTCTTAGCTGCTATAGATTAAGCAGTTTTCCTCCTCCATGCTCCTCACCCATGCTGTTTCTACCTTTGAGCCAGCCAAGTAGGGACTGAACTTTCCTCCTTTGAGTTGTGGGGTCAGGTATTCAGTCTGAGCAGTAGAAAAGTAACTCATCTATCAAGATAAACCACATAAAGTACATCTTATCAAATTTAAAATAATAGAAATGATGCAGTGTTTACCCTCAGACTTCAATAGAATGAACCTAGAAATAAACAATAGAAAGGTAACTGAACAATACCCAAATACTTGGAGATTAAACAACATACTTTAAGAAAACACTGAAGCTGAATATGTAACATCAGACAGAGTTTGTGGGATGCAGTGAAGGCAGCACTTAAAGGAACATTTTTAAGACTGATAGCATATAATTAAAACAGAAGTAAGATCTAAAATCCATCACTTAAGTGTCAACCTTGAAAAACTAGAAGATTAAGTCCTAAATAAGCAGGGAAAAAAAGAAATAAAAATTAGACCAGTGTCTTAATTACTTGCTGTTGCGACAAAATACACAATGCATAGAAGTTGAAGGTAGGAAGGTTTACTTTAACTCACAGCTTGTTTTAATCCATAGTCAGCTTTTTTCAAGGCAGGACAAATGGCAGAGGGGCATAGCAAAAGAGAAACAGTCCATGATGTGGAAAGCAGGAAGCTCAAGCTTTCCCTTTTTATTCCATTCAGGTTAAAAGTCTATTGCCTGGCGTCACCCAAGAGCCTTCCCATTATCCACTCTCGGAACTATGCTAAATTAACCAGCAGGTATATCCAGTTATCACACACCCATATACAGTATCACACACTCACGATCCAGCCAACTCCCAAAAGCCTCACTTATGAGCACATGAAGCTTTGAGGGAACATCTAGATGTAAGCCAAAACAACCAAAACTCAGTGAGCTTAAAAACAAGGAATTAATAGAGAAAACCAAAGCAGCTAAAAGCTGGTTTTTAGAAAAGATAAGATAGATAAGCCTTTAGCCAAGCTAAGCAAAGAAAACAAGAAAAAAGATACATGCTGCTATTGGAAATGAAAAAATCAACATTACTACAGAACATGAAGAGGATATTCCAAGAAAGCTATAAACAGCTCTATGCTCACAAATTTGAAAATTTAGATGAAAATGAACCAATATGTCAAAATTCACAGAAGAAAAGCAGTTGAGCCAAGTGAGGTAGGTGGCATACACCTATAATCCTAGCACTCTGGGAGGCTAAGGCAGGAGTATCACAAGGTCACACTCAGGGGCTGGGGATTTAGCTCAGTGGCATAAGCACTTGCCTGGCAAGCATGAGGTTGTGAGTTCGATCCCTGGTACCAAAAAAAAAAAAAAAAAAAAGTTTTTAAAGCTGGGATGGGAGGGCTTAGAGATATATGTAGCTCAATGTAAAAGACTTGGGTTCAACCTCCAGTACAGGGTGATGGGGGGGCCCACTAGAATAGGCCTATATCTATTATAAAAATGAAAAAAAGATAGTCTTCTACAATAAACCACGTGTCCTACATGGATTTACTGGAAAAAACAATCAAACATTTAAGGAAGAAATATGAATTGTCTATAATCTCTTTCAGAAGACAGAAGTGTTAAGAATACACTTAGCCAGGGCTGGGGATTTAGCTCAGCAGCATAAGCACCTGCCTTGCAAGCAGGCGGTCGTGAGTTCGATCCCCAGTACCGATAAAAAGTTAAAAAAAAAAAGAATACACTTAGCCATGAGCTCTGCCCAATGTCCACACACAATAGATGATTAATGGGCACTAAAGAGTAGTGGTTAGGAACATGGATATTGGAGAAAAGACTGCTTCTGTACAGTATTTTGCTGTCATTTATGGATACTTGAAATAAGTTATTTAACCTTCATTCCCCCCCCCCAGCCTTCTTATATACAATAAGCATAAAGATATTTAATTCATGGGCTTATTGTGATAACAGAACAAGTTTTAAAATTGTAAAAAGAAGATATAAGCAGAGAGAGTGTTTTCAAATTCATTTTGTGAGGGAAGCTTTACCCTAAAATAGAAGAAAAAGATATTACAAGAGAAGAACATAGGTGCACAAATCCTCAAGAAAATATCAAATCAGCAGTGTATAAAAGAATTATACACCATTTGCAATTAAGTTGTTTTGAGGTGTGCAAAATTGTTTCAACATTGAAAAATCAGTGACTATAACTCATGACATCAATAAACTAAAGAAAAATCACATGATCATATCAACAGATGCAGAGAAAGCACTTGACATCCACTCATGTTTTAAATTTCTCAGGACCAGGGATAATAGTTCAGCAGCATAAGCACCTGCCTGGCAAGTGCAAGGTCTTGAGTTCAATTCCCCATACAAAAAAAAAAAAAACAAAAGAATAAAATAAAATTCTCAATAAACTAGGAGTAAAGGGAAACTTCCTTGACTTTGCTAAAGAATATCTAAAAATGTCTATAGCTATCATCATACTTAATGAGAAAACTGAAGCTCCAACTAATATCCAAAACTAGACAAGGATGTACCCTATCATGGCTGCTTTTCAGCTTCATACTGGAAGTCCTAACTGATGCAAAAACCCAAGAAAACGAAATAAAAGGCATACTAATTGAAAAGAAAGAAAACTGTCATCTCTCATAGGATATGAACATCATCTACTTACAGTCACTGCTAATTCTCTGAGTTTACATTCAGACTCGGTGTGAGTGTTAAAGACCTTCCTCCAGCATCTAACCACCACACATGGCTCCAGAATCTGCATTTTAGTAAGAACTCCAGAACTAGGGATTTAGCTCAGCAGCATGAGCACCTGCATGGCAAGTGTGTGGTCATGAGTTCAATACCCAGCAAAAAAAGAACTACAGGTGAGTTCATCACAGGTAGCCCCTGACCAAGCATTGAGAAATTTAATACAATGAAATATAAATTGAGCTGTTAGCTAGGGCCTTAAAATTCTAATCCAAAAATATGCCCTGAATGTCCAGGTAAAGATATAAAATAGGTAAATATAAAAGTAACTTCCAATTTCTTACAAAGCATTTTCCACTTCCTGCTATAGCATATGTTTCTGCAAAAATCAGTCTCTCCTTTTAACACATTTTTCAACGTTCAGAGGAATTGATAACTAAGGGAGAAATTTAGGCAATCTAAATTTTAACCAACCTCAATACCATTCTGTGGTTAATGACAGTTGGAACATATGCTTTTCAAACTTTAATGAAAATTGCTAAGTTTCAGGTACCTAAACCTTGTATTTATTGTCTATATTTTCATGCTTAATGGAATAGAATCACCAGAGAGAGAGGTAATAGAGTAATTAAATGCAGTACTTTGCATAATTTTTCCTAAATTTATTAGACTGTTGATTTCCAACAGTTGATTCTTTTCTATAAAAATTTCAAAACAAATTTTAATATTAATTTTAAAATCAATATGACAGAGCTTTTAGGTACTGAAGAACCAGGGGATTTAAACATATTTCTGTCTCATAAAAGTTCCAGAAACACTGAATTACTGATTTACATCTAGAGAAATGGAATTCATGGTAGGTTGAATTTAAACTTTACTAATCAAATGTTCACAGTGTCTGAACAGCATTAAGTCTGCCTGCTACTTTTCAAGTTGAATTAATTTAAGATGCAAACATTGAAGCATAAAGCATAAATCAAGCACCAAGCTAATAATTATGGATGATTAGGAAGTAAACACCAACATAATGAGTTTTTATAGCATATTCTCCCTGAAAGGCTATATCATTGTATTTTTGATATACAAATATATGATAAAATAAAAATATTGAAAAAATATATTAAATAAAAATTGATTGTGTGAGATCATGTTTCCACCATGTCTGTGTGTAGAATAAAGCTAATAAGGTTTAGAGTAATTAAAAATCTAAGGTTTCCAAGCAAGTTAGTTGTAGGCAAAAAGATCAAATTCTGATGCCATACAATCAAGTAACTGCTATGTATCAGGCACTGTGCTAAGCCCTGGAGACAGAGTGTCCAGGTTCATAAATGGGGGGAAGAGAGGGGTAGATGAGGCAAAAAGTAAATAGCCAGTTACAAGATGTCTTTATGCTAGAGTTACAAACAGAGTTCTGTGATGGAAAGCAAAGTCCTTCCCCTAGTACCCTGCTATGGACCACCTCAGAGAAATGGCACATGATCAGGGTTCTGTCTGCAAGCTTGCAGTCAAAGGCTTTCCTCCAGTGCTGGTTTGGAGTTCTCGTGTTCAGACTCAGCATCTTCTGCTGTTTCTCATGAAATATAAACATCCTAGAAGACTCTTTTTGGTGGTGTGTTAGCCTCCAATTTGCCAGGCCATTCATGGTTTGTTTTTTCCACACTCTGGTAAGGCATTAGACAAAGGGGGATACAAGACTGCCCAGTTTTTTGGCAAGGATGGAAAAACTGGAAAGTGCCACTCTTATGGTCCCCTTCCCTTCTTCAGATTGCCGTGCTACCATCCTGCACCCACATTAGCACTCCTCTCCTTCACAGAAACTTTTCTGAATGAAGTGTTTGCTGAATGAGGAACGGGACTTTCCCAAATCTTGTGTGAAGATAGCTTTCCATCATGCATCACCTGAAAACCTTTGATATCTGTGATAAGAGGACAAAAGAATCTCAACTCTCCTTTCATTGCATCTCACCAGAAGGATGCTTTTGGATGCTTCAATGTTAAAGTAGCACCTGGGTTTGAAGTGAGTTTGTGAAAACCTATAGTCTTTTCTAGTCTATAGACTCAATTGATGTGTTTCACTCATGGGAGAACCTGGTGTCAGAAGAGTAGACTGTGTCATTGTGTTAGCTTCCTGGTTATGTGAATAAAGAACAAAAAGACTGTTAATCATTGGCAACCTAAGGAGGATGGAGGCTAGTGAAAATAAATAAATAAACAAATAAATATGCTTTGTGTTGCTGAAGGGAAAAATGGTTCTCTCTCACTATACTGATGTTCACAGAAATCTGGTATCCTGGACTACTTAGCCTGACAGATTAGAAGAACTTGAAATTCCTAGGAAACCTATAATAAAAGACATAAGCAGGCAAGAAAGAAGCATGCCACTAAATGTGATAACAGAATCAACAGTGATCTCTAGAATTGGTAAGACCCAGGGATTCTAATATACTGCCCGTAAGGGAACCAAAACCCTTTTTCCTCTATCCTACAAGCCATCGGTGCCCTGCTACACGTGAAAGCCAAGCACTTAAATTTACTTTGAGTGGAACCAAAAAGAAGAAGCAAGTTCCTGGTTAGGGATCATATCTGGACAGAGGCAAAGGAATATGGAAAGAATCTGGGAGTGGTAATGCATGCCTGTGATCCCAGCACACAGGAGGATCACTGTGAGTGTGAGGCCAGCCTGGGCTCCTTAGTGAACTCAAGGCCAGCCTGAACTACACAGTGAGACCTTGTCTCAAAAAAAAAAAAATTCCCTTTTAGCTCTCTGAGCAGCACAATGGTGGTAACAAGAACAAGCACCTTATGAAGGGAACCAAGAAGAAAGTGGTTGGTCCATTTGCTAAAAAAGACTGAATGATGTGAAGCTATGTTCAACATACGAAATACTGGAAAAACATCATTCCCTAGAACTCAAAGAACCAAAATTGCATCTGATGGGCTCAAAGAATGTGTGTTTGAAGTAAGCCTTGCTGATCTACAGAATGATGAAGTTGCCTTTAGAAAATTCGGGCTAATTACTGAAGACATTCAAGGCAAAAACTGCCTAACTTCCATGACATGGATCTTGTCCTTGCCAAAACGTGTTCCATGGTTAAAAAGTAACAGAATACTGGGGTGGGGGATTTAGCTCAACGGTGTAAGCACTTGCCTGGCAAGTGCCAGATTGTGAGTTTGATCCCCAGTACAAAAATAAAAAAAGTGGCAGACTATGATGAAGCTCATGTTGATGTCAAGACTGCAGATGATAAATTGCTCTTTTGTTCTGTGTTGGCTTTACTGAAAAGTGCAACAATCAGACACAGCAGACCTCTAATGCTCAGCACCAACAAGTCCGCCAAATCTGAAAAAGGATAATGGAAATCATAATCGGAGAGATGCGGACAAATTGAAGGAAGTGATCAATGAACTGATTTCAGACAGCACTGGGAAAGACACAGAAAAGGCTTGCCAGTCTATTTATCCCCTTCATGATGTCTTCGTCAGAAAAATAAAAATGTGAAGAAGCCCAAGTTTAAATTGGGAAAACTCATGGAGCTTCATGGTGCAGGTGGTAGCTCTGGAAAAGCTGCTGGGGCTGAGACTGGAGCTTAAGTTGAGCGAGCTGATGATGTGAACCACCAGTCCAAGAGTCTGTTCAAAATCCAAATTTTTAATAGTGATAAATAAATCCTACTTGTGGAGGCTGGGGATTTAGCTCAGCGGCATAAGCACCTGCCTTGCAAGCAGGCGGTCGTGAGTTTGATCCCCGGTACAGATTAAAAAAAAATCCTACTTGTGACCCCAAAAAAATCATCAGAAGTAGGACTTAGAGCTAGAGGGGACCATGAGAATGTTTTCTATTCCCCAGAAAGTCACAGAAAAATGGAAAGAGGGCTCCGTGATCTGAAGGATCCCAGCATTGGGAACTTAACGCACCGTCAAGGTTCTGTATCCACTTCGTCTTCTACAATACCAGCAGCCAAGGAGCAGTAAAATTCCCAGGATGACTGTCAGGATGCCAATCCCTGCAGCCCTGGCAGAGATACACAAATCCAATTAGGCACAGAAATACTGTTCTATAGTGTGATGAAATATAAATCAGTCTTCCTTCCTCATATAGTTCCCAAGCAGTTTGCCACCCCCAGACAGGGCAGATGCTCCAGACCTCCAACTTCTGTGTCTTGGCACAGATCTGATTGAGAAGCCCCCAGATGTGTGCCCACAACAGCACTTCTAACAGCAAGGATCCTAGAAACTGATCTTCACAGGGACAATATGTTTATTGGGGCTTTATTGAAACTATTTTTTCTTCTCATCAGGGCTTATTTATAGCTTTTTCTTCAACTCAGCCCAGAAAAAAGAAACAGAAATGAACACTGTCTAAACATCTACTACAAGCCAGGTGTTATGCTAAACAGCTCACATGCACTGGGTTTTTTAATTCTTACAATAACCCTGGTAGGTTCACGCTATTTGTCATTCCTAGTTTCACAGATTTGGAAATAAAGATAGAGAGTAAGTGACTTCCTGCTGGTTATCCAGAGCTATCACAAGACAGAGCTAGGACTACCTCTGCCCAATCTCCTCTCACCCCCATCTGGCCCAGCGAAGAAGAATTTGAGTGAAACCAAGAGCAAAGATACAGAGTTCTTGCAGTGAGATCTGGTCCTAAGCATGAGAATGCCGATCTGCCGGAATCTAAGTCATCTGCTTGAGCCCTGTGTCCAGTGGCCTTGGGAAGCATCACAGTTACCACAGAGGTCCGGGAAGAGGCCGGGACACGAACTGTCTGCACAACTCTGTCAATGAACTTGTGTCTGCCTGATTTTCCACACCACAGCATGGTCAAAGTTCACAGTGCTGCATGTTATCTGTGCCTGAGCACTTGCTAAGAAGGCTCTGCAGAAGTAGATTTATCAGAAAACATCAAAGTTGAATAAAGTCTTCTGGAGAAAATTTTTCCCAGGGCCACACACAGCAGACACTGTCGAGGCTACTTGACATCAAAGCTGTTATGTCCCACCCTAAATGGAGTGATCCAGTTATGTAGGCCAAGATACCCATTTGATAGCTCAAGAAGCTGAGACCTACTGAAATTCCTCAGCATTACTACCACCTCTGTGCCAGAGCACCAACTTGTACCAGATACTCTGCTAAGCACCATACATACATGTCTATATTTTGTCCTCACTACAATCCTGAGATATGTATGATGTCCATTTTACAGCTGATTTTAGGTTGGTGAAATGGTCAAGGCTGCACAACCAGGAAGTGTCAGGACCAGCATTCACAGTAAGTAGCACTGGACACCAGCCATGGGAACTCTAGAATTTGAGACAGACCAAGGTCCCATGTCTCCCAAGCTGGTGCTTGTCCTGCAAAAATTACTGTTACTTAAAATGAAGTTGTCACAGGAGTGTCCAAGGGACCTCATGACTGAAGGCATCTGATCTAGTTCCCAGCATGCCTGTGCTCTCATTTGTCTCTCCTTGAATTTCTTGACACAGACAGAGCTCTGTTCCAGCTCTTTATGCAAGGTCACGTTGTCCTCACAACACACCCAAAGACTGAGAGCATGAAACACTAAGGAATGTCAGATGCGCCGGAATAGCCCCCTGCCCAGCTTAGCTGGGAACCTCAGAGTCCCCACTCTGCAGTCATCATCTGCAGTGCTATTAAAGTGGAACAGTCACCTGCAATGCTAATGAAAGTGCAGTCCAAAGGCTCCACCCCTGACCTGCCAGCTCACTCTCTCAAGTGGCTGCAAAGTTCCACGGATGATTAATGCCCGCTGCACTGTGAGAAACCCTGTCTTCTGAGCCTTCAAAAAGGTAGGTCACGCTCAAAGTCAGTGGGTTGCCCTTTTGGCTAGGTATAGGGATTTATGTCACATTATTCTTCCTTATTTTGTCTGGCAAGACTGTAAGAAGGAAGAATATCTTCAGGGAATTTCAAAGATATATTGCTCCAATATAGATGTTCCAATCCCCCTACTTGAGTAGTGTTCTTTTTTTTAATTAGTTTTCAAAAAATGAGAGAGAAGGGGCTGGGGATTTAGCTCAGCGGCATAAGCACCTGCCTTGCAAGCAGGCAGTCGTGAGTTCGATCCCCAGTACCGATAAAAATGAAAAAGACCAAAAAAAAAAAAAAAATGAGAGAGAGGATTACATTAGTAATACAGTGTGTATTGTTATCTTCAGGGTAGTTACTCAGAGTACAAGACATAGGCAAACAAAGATTCTTACAAAAAAGGAACATATTAGCACAAAGCTTTTTTTCCAAAAAAATTAAGAAAAACTATTTGTGGACTGAGGATATAGCTCAGTGCACAGCATCTGCCTGGCAAGAGCAAGATCTTGAGTTTGATTCCCAGTACCAAAAAAAGAAAAGCATAAATGAATCAAATTAGCATATCATTAATATATTTTTGAAACAATAGGTAATTTGGAGACCACAGTGTGAGAGGGTTATATGTTGAAATTGCGTTCAGCCTATGGAGAGACAGCTCCCACCATGCAGGTTAAATGGATATTTTTCTTTTGCTATACAAGCTAGAGGCTCCCCTGTGTTCTCAGGGAAGATGCCAGATAATGTACATAAGCAGTTTATTTAGCAAGCCAGACACAGAATGCTATGCCTTCAGTCCAGGGGTTCCTTTACATGGTAATAGTGCTGAACCCCATGTACTCCTAATTCAGCGTTGTCGCCTAATTCCAAGTATGTTTGTCTGCTGGGCTGGGGATGAACTCTGCCCCCCTTCTCTTTTGCCCACTGACTTCCATTAGAGGCCCTACAGGGTGTTCAAAAGACTGGAGGAGGGAGGGCCCATGACCAGAAAGAGCCGCTCTTTCCAGTTTGCTTCTTGTTCTGGATCACACCACCCCAGCAGCAGATCTTCACAGCCAGTCCCAACCACCAGCTCTACATCCTGCTTTCAGAACTAGCCTTGTTATGCTCCCCACTAGCTGGCCAGTGTCCCCAGCTCTACCTTCCTGAGGTTCCAGAACCAGCCAAATAGAAGACACCTTCTGATAGTGAAGTTCAACTGCCTAGTCGGTTTCTATCTTCCTAGCTAGACCCTGAGAGTAACTCTGCTTAGGCTGTGGATGCCATGGCAACTTGCTTCCTCAGATAGGAGGATGGCACTACATGGCCTCCTGAGCTGACAACCTCCTGCCTCCAGCCTTCAGCTTCATGGCAGAGATACTGATCTCTACCTTTGCCTGTTGCCAGATGGAGATGTATAAATATTTGTTTTGCTGACCTATAGCATAATGTTTCACAGTCACCCAAAGTTGTATCAAAACCACAATAACCACCATGTCCAGCTGTGTATTTCCTAGTTTCTCTGAGGCTTTCCTCATCTAAAAGACGGCAAGAATGATACCCACCAGGGTGAGTGTCACTGTGTGAGGGTGAGCTGAAGTGATGTGTCACTTGAAAGGTGTGGTCCTAGCCTCTCTGTCTCCCCCTTTTTGTGGGCGAAACATGGCAATGATGATGTATCTTCAACTGGGTAGACAAAGACAGTGACTAAGAGGAACGTCCAGAAAAAAAGAAACTAATGGACACTGAATTTTATACTTTTGGACTATTACTTGTCAGGTAAATAAAATTATGTCTTAAAGAAGACTGTTAAGTTATCCTGCAGAAACTGAAACAGTATCCTAACTAATATCACTTGCAATAGATCCTCCCCAACAGTTTAGTTTTACTCTTGAAAAATCTTGTTAGGAGATAAAAACATGTCTGTTGCTTCCCCAGTTGACCAACTGACCACACAATAGTAGGGAAGAATTCCCACAGTCTTCAGATGAAATGCGCCCAGCCTGGATCCTTCCTTAGTACCTTTGAAGGGTTCTACAACTTGTTTGTCCCTGCTGACTGACTCCATTTAAGATTTTTCTGTTTTTTTTTTTTTTTTTTTTACAAAAAGAGAACAGGTCTACAGGTGTTCTAAACAGATTATGAAAAACATAGTGCAAATAAAAACCCGGTTTCTTGTCCTATTGAAGTCCCCGCTGGCTGGAGAGCAGAACTTCCGGTCCTACCACCATGTCCTCCCCCCCACCCCACCGCTCCCCAATCCTTGTACCTGCAGTGCCCTGCATTCACTGTGTTCTCTAACAGCACTTACTTTTTGGTTTTCCTTTTCTTTCTTTCTTTCTTTTTTGTTTCTTGGGGGGGGGGGCTTAACCTGGGAATTAAACTCAAACCCTTCTCACCGAGCTCTGTTCTTTATTCCTAGTCTTCTTTTATTTTTATTTTGAGATAATCAAAATGCTAAGTTGCCAGGCTGGGCCCAAATTTTCAATGCTCCTGCCTCAGTTTCCCAGAATGCTGGGATTATAGGTGTGTGCCACCCACTGTGCCCAGTTAATGGCACTTACGTATACTAAAGTTATTTTCTTGCCCAGTTCTCTCACTGGGTTGTTAGCTTCTTCAACGATAAAAGCTGTATGTGTCTTGGATTATTACCTAATACATACATCATAGAAATGTGAATTATTTAAATTTGTATTTTTAATTAATTCTTAATAACATGGTATCCCTTCTGTAAAGTTATAATGCAGCAGCGACGGCATCATCTTCATCCTGGAGTCGGCCTGCAGGGTGAGGTCCACACACCTGCCCTCATCTACACTGGCTCTTTGGCAACTTCATTCTGTCCACAAGTCACCTTTGGCAGCCTGAGAGGGGCTGACAGAAGAAGGCTTGAAGAAAGAAGCATCTTGATGGCAGACAGAAGTTTTTCACTTTGGGGACCTATGGCTAACAAGGCTCAATAGCTAAGAATGCAGACAAAAAATTTAAAAATCTGACTTTTTATCGTTCAGTCCTTCCTTCCTGTTTGGCCCCAGGGAAACTTGAATGAGCCCTTTGTGGAACCAGAAGTCTCCTCCCCTGTTGCTATGGTTTTTACTGTCTGGGGAAAGAAACACAAGGGAAATTTACAAATGGCCCTGTGAGGCCCCGCTCAGCAAACTGTGCCCGCAAACAGCAAACTGGGACCAGGTCTGGCTTTGAACTTACGCTTCAATTGTGATGTAAGTGTGGTCGCGCCCCTTCCTGGGAAAACCATAGTCCAAGTGACTCTCTTCTCGTGGCATCTTACGGGTCAGAGCACAACACACCTGACAGGAACATGGACACCATTTAGTGAATTCAGTGAATCCTACGCATCATCTCATAAAGATCTGCAAAGACCCTGTTGCCAGATAGTCAATATTGACAGGAGGACCCCCTGGTTTCTCTCTGAAAGGGTTTGTTCCTACTTCTAAAAGGATGTGAAGGGCTTTAGAAATACTCATAGTCTAGGCTTCTAACCTCTTCCACTAATGGAAAAGAAAGTTTGAAGTAGAAAATACAGATCAAAACAAAACACACCTTTCAAATGGGGTTATTATTTGGCAGAAAAATGTTCTGTTCTAAAATCTTTAGAGAAAAAGAGAACTTCAATCATTCTCTACCTTGCCTGACACAGGATAATGGCTAACAGGACAAGTAATTTCTCTCCCAGGTTGCTGTTTGGCGCTAACTGTTGAACAAACAGAAGGCAGTGATGAGATAAATGTGTTTCCTAAAGTCTGATATGGGGGCGGAGGCAGAGAGCACAGCATCCTCTGGGGAAAGGACTGAGATGGGACATGTACTTGTACCGGCTGCCCATGACGAGTGCATCCATCATGTATTACACACATGTGCTTTAAAAAATAGCCAAGTCCACTTTCCAACAAGAGAAACCACCCTGTACATGTGCCTTGGTTTATCTATGTGCGTATCACCCAAAATTACCCGAGGAAGCCTAGGATCCATCATTGTCTAACGCTTCATTTTCCCTCCCTCCTAAATCAACTTCTGCTTCTCTCCAAGTTTTATGGTTAGGAGTTGGGGGGGGGGGAGGGGACAAGAAAGAAAAAAAACCTACAATACATACAAATGAACAAACTCATGAACTGCAGTAGTCATAATAAAAACAAGCTCATTGAAAGTCAGTGCAGGCCTCTCTCCTTGCTATTGTGTATTTTTCTCCCCTCTTACTTTCCTTGTGACTATTAAAGTCCTGATCCCCAGCAGTTACATTAATGAGCTCTGGTTTAACAACAGGGAAAATGGGAGAACAAAGTGGGGAACTTCACCCTGTGACACCTTCCCACTGGGACCATTTTATGTGTAATTGTCCTTCCCAATTGTTTTAAAAAAAATTACAGTTGAACTTACTGATCGTCTCAAGTGGATAAGGTGGGGGTAAATCCTCTGTTCAGATTACAGGGAAGAAGCTCAATTCTGCATTAAACTGTTTGTGTTCATCTATACCTCAAGCTTAGAGCCTTGGGTACCAGTATAGGGAAAGCAAATGTCCCCTCACCCCCCTCAAAACAAGAAAAGTGCTCCTTCAAGTGACAGAAAACATCCAGCATGCTGGGAGTGGAGAGCACACCTGTAATCCCAGCACTCCAAGGCCTGCCTGGACCTACGTAAGCGACTCCACAGCCAGCCAGAGCTACAGAGTGAGACTTTGTCTCAAAATAATAATAATAGTAATACACCCCATCAAAAAAGAGTGCTTGTCACCAGCAGGCAGCCTCTGGAATAACTGCTCTTTTTGTTGGCAGTCACAGAGGACTGAGAGATTTTAGGGGAGCTTTTGTGGGACCTCAGAAGTTGAAGGCTTATAAGCCCAGAGGAGAAATCCTGCTGACAGTGAAGGCACCGGGGGAAGCAGGAGCGTCCACCGGCATCTCCACATTCTGTTCTGGGAGAATAGGACGAAGATTCTGGAGAAAAAGGCTGTTCTTACCTTTCTCGATGAGATCGCCCTGCACTTGCTGACTGGTAGTGACTGTGTGTGGGAAGATTGCTTCTCTAACTCTTAATCTTACAAAAAAAAATTTTTTCTTGATCTTGAGTCCTATGATAGTCACGGGTTTAGATTCCTGACGGAGTGGTTTGTGATTGCTTATTTGGCATGAAAAAAACCAACTTCATTCCACTCTTCAAAAAAATCAGTTTATTGGGCCTTTGTTTTCCCTAATCTGAAAGCTTCATCCTAAGGGAAGCCATTTCTTAAATGCCAGGCCTCCTCTGTACGGTGGCCAGATAAATTATATAGAATTCCCAGTGAGTCTGTAATGTCAGATAGACAATGAATAGTTTTTTAGTGTAGCTACATCCCATGAAATATTTTTAATATGTCTCCCATATTGCATCAAGACATATGACTTTAAAAGTTATTTTTTTTCTTTGTCTAAAATACAGATTTAACAGGAGCCCAACATTCTCTTCTCCTCTCCACCTCAAAGAGTTTAAGAGGCTGCAGGCTCAAGCTTGGAGATGATCTAGTCCCACACTCATATCCAAGAAGAGGAATTAGAAGATCTCCGAAATCTTCGAAACTTGGGCTCTTTGCAATGGTCCTGGGGTTGGCTATCTACTGGCAATGGTGAGTTTCCAGGCATTTATAAGGGACATATGCAATTTTCTTTTCCAAGGTGGAATATGACCGAGTTAAAAATCTCACAAACCAGGGCTGCTTCTACCTTGTGTCAAATGTGTGTAGCCCATGAGCATTTCAGTGGGACACAATAGCAGCTTGTTGCTGGGTCTCCATAACCACCATGAACAGAAAAACGGAAACAAAAACCCGCAGTAAAATTAGGCAGTATGAGGGTCTTCACTAGCTGAGGATGTGAGTTAAATGACCACATAACATCCGAAGGCCCCGCTCCTTTCGATCCTCTGACTTTCCAGTTCCTGTGTTGGGCTATGGACAAGAGCCGTCCTGAGTGAGGGCGGTGTCAGCCTACTGAATCTGGATACTGTGATCTTTGTCACTGGAATTGGGAAGTGACAGACAAAAGAAGGGTTGATTTTTATTCTTTGTGGAGAGAAGAAAAATTTTTTCTGGAAAGGGGGAAATTTTAAACTGAGATCTAAATCAGAAGGAAGTAGCCGTGAAAAGATGGAGGAAGAAGGGCTAGGGGTGTAGCCCAGCAGAACGGTTGCCCAGCACATGCCAGCCTCTGCATTCAATCCGCAGCTCTGGAGTGGAAGGTGGCACTAAACAGACAGAAGGTCAGCATTTCAGACAAAACAGTCAGTGCAAAGCCCTGAGGGAGAACAGTAAACCATAAAGTAATCTGGGCTCCCAGGCTAGTTCAGGAGATTTTGTACAGAAATTGGGAAGCATATAGGCCTTGGTGTCAACAGATTTAGGGAAGCAACTCCAACCTGAATCTCAGGTTTCTGGAAATCTCAGGTGATTTCCAGAAAGCCCTAGGCTACAGTCCTAACCCGCGAAGCCTGGGGGTTGCACTAGGCTGGACTCTCCAACTAACATGGGCCCGTGGATGACCGATGACAGCCGAAGATATTGATCTGGCTCTCAGGGCAACATTTCAAATCTTCTAGTGGTGTGAGTTGATTCAGGGAACTTGAATATGCCCTGCATTCTTCTATGGTGGATACAGCAAGGCAGCTGTCATCGTCCCGTTGCCCAGAAGGGGCTCCACGTCCAGCGTCAGCATGCTGGCAGTGCTGCAGCTTAGCAGGTTACCAGCTCTCCAGCTAGTTTGCCTTTTGGAACTCAGGCAGGGAGCTCTGATCAGATTTTTCACAAGCATCTCCTTGTAACTTTGGTTTACAGCATTTAAAGTGCCCATTCCTTCAGGGCTACATGACCAAGATAAACTGTGTGTCACTTTTTCAAGTAAGGGTCCATGGAAAATTCAACCTGACACTCCCACTATACCCTGTCAACCTGACACTCCTACCATACCCTGCAGTTTCCCCTGTCTAGGCTCCTGGTCATAGCCAGACTAAATCAGGTCCTACCTGCTCCCCACCTGAGCACTTCCAAGTGAATGCTGGTTTTCCCCTGGCTAACAACAGAGACTCAAATCCAAGCTGCCTGAACTTCATTTCTTCAGTCTCTGTTGAGCAAAACAAATCTCTGAAAGCCTCATGTGGGCATCTAGAAATGGAGTTAATGTCTATTCCAGGTTCATTGTGAGAACCGAATGCTTCCTTCTTGGTATCTAGCACAGAATATGCTTAGCAATAATAAAGGAAATTGTTGCTATGAGATCGCCCACCTCTTATCCCTTGGCACCAGCTCAAATGGCTCTGCTACTTCTGCCCCACGTTAGAATTTGCACCCATAAAAAAAAAAAAAAAAAAAAAAAAAGAATTTGCACCCATAGGCCCTTGCTGGTCACTGCGTGGTTCTTTGCTGCCACCTAGTGGGCCTTGACTCCCTTTGCACCGTAGGAAGAGACCAGAGACACATCTCAAAGCCATTGTTGCCGATGGGCTTTGATTGAGAAGTCAGAGATGGTACTCTGAAGGCAGGGAGGTAGACAGCTAGGGAGTGACAAAGGTAGACTGCACACAGCACTTCCTTCCTGTGCCACGTGGGAGCCTTGAATCCCAGCTCTCCTTATTTATTTCTTGTGACTTTGTCCAGTTATTTCACCTGCTAAGCTTCAGTATATTCATCTGAAAAATGGGAATAAAGAATAAATATGAGTTGGGTGTGGTAGTGCAAGCCTGCAATCCCAGCACTTGGGAGGCTGAAACAGGAGGGTTGTGAGTTTGAGACGGGACTACATAGTGAGACCATATCTCAAAAAAAAATGTAACTAAAGTGAGAAAGGCTAGCAGTGCCTCTGTGAATTTCCTGTGAACCAGCAGAGAGAACTAGCAGGTAAGGTAGGAGCACAGGCCATGCCCGAGTGTTAGTCAGCTAGCAATTACTGCCTGTGGAGGAAAGTTATGGGCTGGGGAGGTTCTAATGATAGAGGGATAGTGATGAGGGGGAGGGGCAGATTAAAGGCGGTCTAGGTGGAGGCTGGTGGGAAAGCCCTGGCAGCCTGGCGCCACTGAGACCAGCAGAGCCTCCCACACCAGGTGCCCACATGTAAGAGCTGATTTCTGCTGAATTCCATATGGCTCCCTCTTAGAAATGAGTCGGGCAGAGCTCTACCAGTTCCTGATTCATTAGACAACTAACAGTTTCCGTGTGATGTGAGTTCATAAGCTGCTTCAAGTGTGAGCACAGGGCAAATTGCCCAGGCTTCTCAGGTGAGCAGAGATTGAGGGTAATATGGAAACGTATTAAGTCCTGTGGCCACTTGTAAGCAGTCACTATCAAGATACACTCGATTTTTAAGTAATTTTGGGGTGCAAAGATACCGAGGAGTCAATCTAGGTTCACTGCGACATCAGATATCACCACGGCTGCCCTGGATTCTCATCCTGGTGCAATGTGGATATTGCTTCTGTGTAGGAGCCTGGAAGAGTTTGAGAGGAAGTACGTTTCACTACTGCCTGTCTGTAAAAAGGTAAATAGGGGTCCAGCAGATGTGAGATGGGGAGTAGGTGGGTCTTCTCCTGTCACAGCTTGGAGTGAGGATAGGAAGGTGACAAAATGTAGAGGGAAGGTGCAGAGGCACAGAGTGGGCAGTAGGTTTGGGGAACCAAGTGTAAGAAAGAGTGGAAAACTGAGGCCAAGAACACTATACTGGGGCTTCTGAACTGACTTTTCAGGCTGTTTTGAATCAGAGGAAGGTTTGCAATTGTTTGTATGTTTGTTGTTTGTTTTTTGTGACAGAGTCTCATTTTGTAGTTCAGAACATCCTTGAACTCACTATGTAGCCCAGGCCAGCCTCCAGCTTGTGATCCTCCTGCCTCAGCCTCCAGAGTGGTGAGATTACACAGAAAGGTTTTAAACGGGGAGAAAAGTGGGCCATCTACACTAAGGGTCAGGTGACATCCCAGTGTCATGAAGATACCTGCCTCCTCAGCGGCCACAATGATTTCCTGCATTGTTGTGTGCAAAAGCTTTCTGTGAACTGTAAATTATTTTGATGTTAGACCTAGAAGCAGCAACTTGATTTGCAGGGCATCAGGCTGGTGAGATGACGGTGGGTAGGAGAGAACCAGGGTTTGGGGTTTTGATTCTTATCCTAATCTGAATATTCGCTCCAGTGCAGACTGTGTGTGTGTGTCACTGGGCATGCACGACCATCAGCAGCAGTCTCATCTTCAAAGCAAAAACACAGTTTCTCTCAGGGAGGCTGTATTAGTCAGGGTTTTACTAAAGAGAACAGATGTAACACAAGATATACAGATGTAAAAGAAACAAGGAGATTGGCTTACGACGGTCAGCCAGAGTTGGATGAGGAAGCCAGCAGAGGGTGTCTACTCACTGGAGGCCGAAGAATTCAATCCAAGGTCTGGAGTTCACCCTAGTGTTTTGTGCAAGTCCACACCAGCAGGCTGATGGGTCTGTGACACAAAGCCGAAGGCTCTACATTGGAAGGATGAAGAGTCTATGCCAGAAAACTGAAGAGGCTACAACAGAAGCCAGGAGACGAGGTCCAAACCAAAGGTGAAGACTGGAGCGTCTCCCAAGAATGGAATGCATGCAGCCTTCCTCCGGCCCTTTTACACCTCCAGGTGATGAGCCACCCTAGGGTGGGTCTTCTACACCCTTGGGTGTAGAGTTGCTAAACCCATTTAGTTAAGCTCCTAAATGTCTCAAGTTAACACAATCAGTCAATCACTACAGAGGCTGATTGGTCGTGTGTGCCTTGCATGGAGTAAACTCTTGTATCCATTCCCAGTCTTTGGTTACAAGCAACAAAAACTCAAATCTGGCTACTTAACAAAATGAAATTAAGGAAATGTTATGAAAATGTTCCACAGAACTAAAAGCAAATCAACAAATCAGGCCTTAAAAAAGAATAGAATAAAGTAGTTCTGAAATCAGCTTCAACCATGTTCATCTTTGGTACAAGTTTAAGGTTCTTTGGAGAATCTTGTTTGGTTCGCTTAGGTCCCAAGGCAAATTCTTGCCCAGGCATGATGTAACTTGGGCCAGGAGAGAGGGTTAATATCTTGTCAATGCAGTAGAAAAGGAGAAATTCAGAAGGACTCAAAATTGC